GTGCGTGTGTGTGTGTGTGTGGTGTGTGTGTGTGTGTGTGTGTGTGTGTGTGTGTGTGTGTGTGTGTGTGTGTGTGTGTGGTGTGTGTGTGTGTGTGTGTCTGTCTGTGTGTGTCTGTGTGTGTGTGTCTGTCTGTGTGTGTGTGTGTGTGCTGTGTGTGTGTGTCTGTGTGTGTGTGTCTGTGTGTGTGTGTCTGTGTGTGTGTCTGTGTATGTGTCTGTGTGTCTGTGTGTTGTGTGTCTGTGTATATATATATATATATAATATATATATATATATATTATATATATATTATATATATAAAATTCACTGTCAATACTAGTGTTTAAATGAGCCAGCAGTGAGAGTAATATTTCAAGTGTATAGCTGGCAGTGCAGCTGCACTATTCTTTTGCTTTAATTACATTAAAACTCTTTATATTTAATCAGCCCCTCAAGAGAGGTTCCTTGACGCTGGTGAGGGGATCTTGATCTAGGGAATTTGATCTGTGCTCCAGTTACCTGAATTAAGCCTGAATACCTTCCATCCCCCCACAGGCGCTGTATAATCCTACGGGTTTGGAGCTTCCCTATGATTATTATAATAATATATTTAATCAGATCAAAGATAATTAATGTTGATAACAAGTGATAATTAATTCATTCATTCTCTTAAAAATAAGTTAATGTGGTGGACAAATAAACGTGTTATTCATAGCCTCCACAGTGAGCATGATCCAACTGGCTTATAGGCTAACTTGGCAGGTGGTGAACGTTAAAGATACCGCGCCGGATCACCATCTGGAAAAGACCCGGGCTAGGACAAGACCGGCGAACCTACAAGATGATGATTAAAGCTATCAGTCAACTGGTGAACTCCTCTAGATCTAACTCGGAAAGTCAAGCCTGGATCTGCTGATGAATTATATTAAATTACCACACAGATTGAGGCAAATTTTCCTTTATTGTAAGCATTTTAGTTCTTTTGTGAAATTGACACAAACTAGATGCATCTGAATATACTGAATTTAAGTCCCAGTCCCCTCCAAGGTCAAATTTATCAAGCAATAAGACATCCTGTGGGCGAACCGAACATCCAAAAGGACAGTATTGCTGCCTTATTAACCGATGTGTCATTGGACTTATCAATTACAGCATATCAAGTAAAAAATGTAACTACTTATTATTTCAGTTTTTCCTTCTGGTAAATAAATGCAAATGACTTGTGCCTTAAACGTATATTTAATACACTACGGTACCAATCCAAGTGTTAAATGGGCCAGCAGTGAGAGTAATACTTCTCGAGTGGTACAGTTGACCTTGGAGCCACACTTTGCCAAGAGCCTCGTCACATTAACTCGCAAGACTATTTTTGTTCCCCATGTGAAATATATAAATTTGTACGTTTATTCACATTGCTGAATTATCTTCTTATATTATTAATAATTTTATAATACATAATTATAATCAAGTTAAAAGGGGAAAGTATAAGTCAACGATCTTCAAAACAAAAAGACAATTGCTGGCAGCTGCAAATCTGGGTGAGCAATGTGTCTGCATTCATCTGGTGGCAGTAATATTAAACTATGACAGCATTCATTTAGTTCGTCCTGATACGTATACAGAGCCCCTGCATTGTAGTTTTCGTGATATTTAAAGGTGGCGTGATTGTATCTGTGATGCTCCATTTGCTTGCGATGAGCCATAAGTTTTTCATCAATCAATTGACAAAATAGTCATACTGGCTTCAAACTATTCTGAGCTCGAATGAACCCAGTCATGAGTGGATAATAGCTGTATAAAAACCAACAGTTTTGAAATAAGACACGTGCAGTGTTAAGATATTTTATTGGAACATTTCGCCACGACTGAAGTCATTTTTGGCGAAACGTTTCCTCAGTATCCTAACTTTTCACATGTACCTTATTACATGAACCTAGTTAAATATGCCGTTTCAATATACAGCTCTGTTAGAGAATTTCATATATACAGCTTGTTAGAAAATTTCATGAGTCGGAAACCGGCCGAACTCAAAATAGTCTGGGACCAGTGCGCCCCCCCCTTTTGTCCGGTAAATTAAAACTCAGAAAAGCCATCCCTTAGCGTAATTATATGAGGGTTGTAGATAGGTACATACAGGGTTAATAAAGCCTTTCTTCGCGCTAGTGTATCAGGGAAGCAACTAAATGGCCGAAGACTGCGTGTGTGCACAAGGGAATAATGCTAATGAAGAAAAATGAGATAGCATATACGGTCATAAGGAGACAATTGGTAGGCCATCTACAGATGAATGGCCCAGCAAATCACAACCTCCCGAAGCTTTGTGAACATGGTAACACAATGGTTGAGTATACCGGCAGTGTGCAACTAAAGACAACCGAGTCAGAGGCGTCGTAAGGGGGGGGGGGTGGCGGGGGGCGCCCCGGGTGACACCATAGAGCCTCTAAAAAAGGTGACACTAATGACCAAAACTATGCTGCAGCAACCTAAGAGAAAAATTCTTCGTTTCTATATAGGCTATTATAGGATTACAAATACAAACAGGCCTGTATTGGGAAAATCATTGATTTTGATGATGTGATAGATGATTTTGCAGGATTGAAGGCAAGGAAATGAAATATCAGATTCTTTGAGATGTTACCTGTACTCAAAGCTAAATCGGAACTAGTGTTTTTCTTTATTTTTCAATTTTTTTTTTTCACTGTTGAAGAATAATAAATGTAGGATCTGTTGGCTGTACTCAAAGTGGTATTTGAGTTTATATTTCCTCAATATTACTACGATTATTTATTTTATCATTAATAAAGTTCGGTTTATGGCCTTTAAACGTTCTCATTGCTAAACATTAGTCACTGGTCATGCAGCAGTGATGTAACTGGAGTTTACTCCCCCCATTCCCCCGCCCTTGGATTTCATGGGGGTGACACCAAAGATGCCGCCCTGGGTGACACCAATGATTCCGCCCCGGGTGACACCAACTCTAGCGACGCCTCTGAATCGAGTATATCGACAGTTTGCAAATAAGACAATGTGAGTTATGGCATCTTACTGTGAGTACGTTTTGCCCACTAGGAACTTCAGAAATTCACAAATTGATAAAGTCCGTGGTGAACGAAACGTCTTCGCAATAAAATATCTCCCGCATTGTTTCATTTACATGTGCGAACATTATACATGTATATTACACTGATTAATGATATTCCTTTACACGTCAAATATAGCTATATACGTGTCCCTCTTGTTATTTCAAAATCGACCATTTCCGACGATGTGGTAAAAATGTATTTAGTGGCTGGAGTACACACGCAAGACTTAAACAACGTTTCAAAATATCAGAAATTAAGCGAGCCCTGAATTATGCTTTGTATATCAAGCGTACTAAGATAACAGCGACTCTTTGAGGGTGGGGAAGAGGTGCCTTAATTAACTACCAAACACTCGTTCTAACGTTCACTTGCCTATCTACCCTACTCGTTCTAACGATCACTTGCTTAATTGCCCAACACCTCGTTCTAAAGTACACTACTACTACTAACATTCATCTCTAGTTTCTTAAATTAAGCGCGTGCACTAGTCACTCGCTTGCATGCTGACTATTACAGGAATATAGTGATTAATATTTACTTCGTGCAACAAAGAAAATTTAGAACATATTAACAGTACATAATCCTTATGTATTTCTTTACGAGTGAATGCACAGTTCATTCACAGCTAATTTTGTGTATATCTGCAGTAATGGCAACAGAGCTCTATATAAGCAATGGACTAATTTTTTTTAATGTAAAACAATGAAGCAAATATTGGAAATTTACTTACAATAAGCTGGTATACCTATTGGAAGAAGAAAAAAAAGAAACTCATTAATTTTGACAGAGGTGCTCGGCTGGTAAAAAAAATGAACCTCTTTTATGTCATTCACCCAATGCATATATTTATCTTCAATTTTTTTCCTTTACCAATACCTTCTCACCTTTGTCTTGACCTATTTAGACCTCTCTTTTCTACTAAAGGAAGTTCTATTATTTACAAAAAAAATAAAAATAAACTTAAAACCGACCAAAGCTCTTCCACACTTTATTAGGTATTTACTACGTATACAAAAAGGGTTTAGAAGAGAAATATTAAGTATTAAATAATAATAGAACACAAGAGGAGGTTACTGTGATCAAAGAACTGGTTACATTGCATCACATCAGTAGTCGTGGCTCACATGAAAGGTTATGCCTAAGAAAATTTAAAATAGTATAGTTTTTTTGTTTTCATACTACGGAACAACTGCTAGTCTTTCTCTCTCAACTTCCAAAACAATGGAGAAAGCTAAATGCTACAAAAATCCATAATTGAAATTTAATTTATCCAGCTGTGTACTCAAATGAATTTAAATCTAAAGAAGAATCTCTTAAAGATAAAAAAAAATAAAAAGCTATCTTAATAATGGAAAAAATGGACTGAAAGTCTTGTAAACTAGTAATGATATGAAGGCTTTATGACCAGGTACTTCAAAATTTACACTTGGAAAATATTACTAGATCAGGTAACCAGATCTTCGCGAAGAAATAACTTTACAGCGCTGCGCCATGGTAGAGGATGCGAATAAAATTAGTGGAAAAAACGAGGTGCATATATAATTTGGAATATTCCCAATGCAAGCAACACTACTAGGATGAATATCGAGGTCTTCACAATAAGTTAACCTATTAGTCAGGTTTAGGTGGGGTTTTATTTATTTTTTTGCTTAATAGCATGTAGCAAAAGTCTGGCTTCATGGAAAGATTCGAAAATAGAATACTCGAAATCTAAGAAGTAAAATGTAAAGCTCCATACGAAGCAACTTTTGCTAGGAATTTGACCTCTCGTACCAAGGTGTAAATAACCAGAGCTTTATCGTAATGTGTTATTTCATAAAGATAAATATAGATAAATTTATATATAACCTTTAATCTGCTGAGGCAGGCGCCCATGAACTATAGGAGAAAAGCATGCTAGAAGGCGTGCACTCCTTGAAACCACGACACACTTACAACATAGGTAGTAACGCCAATCATGTTGAGAATGCTGGTGTCTCTCATCTTCGTTGTTGGTGATGGCGTACTCTCCCTGGCGAGCCCCACACAATCCTGCTACTCCTTTGCCCATAGCGCTGCCCATGTACTGCAGCATACACACTAAGCACATCCTCTGGTAACAAGCCCTCCACACACCTTCCCACTGATGCTACCAACTTCACTAAATAAGTCTGCCAAACTGGCTACGACACTGCCCCACAGCTTCTTTTCCAGTCTTTTATTCTTTTTACATTTTTTTGTAGTGTATCAGTAGTCCAAATGGATTATTTTTAAATACACAATAACCACTACACTGCGTCTTTGTGCATCGCAAGATTTCTAATGGAATCCTGGCTTTCCTCAAGCTAAGCACAAGGCCTGATGACGTGGTTTTATAAATGCGATCATTAATGTCAATTATTGTGTACGGGTTGTGCCTCATACTGATTACATAATGTTTAATACTATTACTCAAGCACTACTTATAAGCAAGATATCCAATCTTTACAGGTTACTCTCAATTGTTCTCTTCATTTTGCTTTTGTCTCGCCAAGTACGCACACAATATCTACATGTTGACCTAAAAATAATTATAAAGCATTGCTACTAGTACATAGGCGTCATAGCAGCTACAGTGCGTCAAGATTTAGTTCAGTTGTCCACACCTTATAATGCACCATCATCCAGTCTGTGTGGTAGGTTGGCATTCGAACTGTAGGTAGGCAGAGACATTTGTTGCTAGGCTGTCATCTGAACTACTACTCCGGGACATTTGTTGGTAGGCTGGCATCTGAACAGCTGTCAGTCCGGGACATTTGTTGGTAGGCTGGCATCTGAACGGCTGTCAGTCCGGGCCATTTGTTGATAGCCTGGCATCTGAATGGCTATCAGTCCGGGACAACTGTTCCTACAATCAAGTTTCTTCTCAATGTTACATCACTATAAATGGTTATAACTATGTCAATAGTTTTTAAAGAGGTGGACTGGTAAGCACATTCACAATCTGCTCGTCTTTTACGAGCAGAAACATCCCGGTCCAGTGGCCAACGCTGTGGCACACACTTTTTCAATGATCTTTGATTACAGCATAAAAACAACTTTCTCTTAGGAAGATAGGTGGAATGATTACTTACCAAACCACATCTCCACCAAATTTTTAAAGTGCGCTTCCCACTTTTTATTTAAAACCAATGAAATATTTTGTGCGGCACGTACTGACTTCACAGGGTTACACAAAAACTCTCCTTGTTCGGCAGAGCAATTCATGATGAATAAACAAGTCTGCAAGATCTTGCATCATACCATGCAGACATTTACCACTAGGCCACAGTGCTACAAAAAACTAGGCGATATGACATATTCTAGGCAGGATCAATCCACTGCCTGAATAAACTCGAGCAACGGGCACAATATTATCGCCTAACCCCCCACCTCCCATTTATGTCTTAAACTTAAAGCCAATTTAATAGGTCCAGTAGAAATGGCAATTAACACACAAGCATAATTTCTTCTTAAGTGGGCTGCTGCATATGTGAAAGCTATCCTTCTGGCTGCTCTTGTGTTCTTGCTGTAGAAATTAATACGTAACCAATGAATACATCTTCGTTAAGCAAGTTGCTCTGCATAAGTATTCACCTTTGGCATGAGCACATATAAATTACAAGGCTGCAAACACTATATTCGAGGATAGGTTTTTAAGTTATGCTTCCACCAGCGTCAGTTGTCAATGTAATATACCTCTTCTCTGTTGTATCCGGAAATCTAACAGATAACTCGAGTTTGAATAAAATAGTTTTGTTCTGGGCTGATACAAGCCTGTTTGACTATGGTGACGTTCCTGTTTACATTTATTTATTATTTTATTGTACTTAAGAGTAGCCGACATGAAAGCTGTGATCTTAATTACTTACTCGCGTAACATGTGGTCATAGGGATGGTTTTGAGTTCTCATCCACGATATATGAAGGAAAATCTTGTACAACCCGTGATTTTTCTGGTGTGGCGTATTGTGATATATATATATATATATATATATATATACACTTCTGGGGTCAGTAACGAAATGACATAATTCATTAGCTTAAGCAAAATTAAGAATTTGATTTCCCGTCTTAAGAGCATTTTAAGGTTATAACCGTGCAGAAGAGAGTAATGCAAAGATAGGATTGTCCGGACAAAGAGTAATGTTAAGATAGGATTGTCCAGATAAGAGTAATGTTAGATAAGATTGTCCAGATAAGAGTAATGTTAGATAAGATTGTCCACTAAGAGTGATGTTAGGATATTATTGTCCAGGTAAAAGAATGCAAGAACATGCTAGTTCATGCTACCAGTCACCGAGTAGAGTGCGAGGACAAGTTTCTCTTTACAGGTAAGTACCTCTTTCAAACCTTGAGAGATAAGTGACTTTTAGAATAAATGTACTTCCTAGTAGGCCAGTATTTTTTTTTTTTCATAATTCATGTTATACGCAGTTAGTGTGGGTTAACCTTCATTTTTTGCATTTAAATTTTATAGTTTACTGCGGAATTGTACCTTACTGAAGCCTTGCTTTCCGACACTGTCTGCTGAATGAATCTGTAATTTACACTTTTCGTGATATATTAAAAATTACTTGTATAATATGCACAAACAAGCATGGTTAAACAACTAACCTGTGGAATAAATGTTTTTAGCAAATTCTTTTTCTGTCGTTGTCAATCCCACTTTCCTAAATATTTGTCATGCATTATTTACACATACATGCACATCCGGCATGTGATAGTTTATCATGTTCGTATATTATGTTTCTGCTTAAATTTCAGTCAGTGATCCTTCTCCGTTCATATTCATTGCCATTATTTCAGTGTATTATTATTTATCATTTGTTATTGATCTTTTTTAATTATATTTCATAGTTTGCTGTTGCGGAGACGCGAGTTACATGGACACGATAATAAGACTGATTTGTGTTAATAAAAGCTGTGAATAAAAGACTGATTTCTGTTAATAAAACTGTGAATATTAAGCATCTTAGTTAAAAAAATATTACTCGAGATTGATGTGAGCCTAAGATATTTGTTTGTCAAGGTCCAATCTTCTGGTCCGTTCATTAATCTAATTTCGTAGTATTATTATTGTAATCCTTATTAAAATAAGGATTTTAATAGTATTTCATGTTATTTTACAGGATCACATTCTGAGTATAAGTGCCTAGTTGAGGTACTAAAAGGGAGAAAAAGGATGATTTGTGAAAGAAAGTATAAGTTAAGCTTAGGAAATAAAATTATCGACGAGTAGTAAGGTAGATATTATGAATTGTTAAGCCGTTAGATATTTATGTTGAAACGTTTAACTCTACAGTATATAAGTATGACTGTACCTTATTTAATAATTAAAGAATTTATTATCACTGGCAATGCCCTAGATTATAGGGTTTGCTGAAGAAAGGTCTCTTGAATAGGATTATAAAATATAATAAATATAGATAATAATAAATTAATATATGAAATAAGAATAATATATATATATATATATAAAATATATATATAACTATATTAATATTATATTTATAATTTATATATCTTATATTTCATATATAATATATTTTATATATAATATAAATTATATATCAAATCATTAATATATATACAATAAATATTTATATTATATTATATATATATATATATATATATATATATATATATAATATATATATATATATATATATATATATATATATATATATTATGATGTATCTATTATCCCCCTTGTGTTCTTCATCGAATTACTTCGTATATTGTTACTCCTCATGCACTCCCTATTAACGTTGCTACAGTATCTTGTTTTCTCTATTATTTGCACTCGTACAACTTCTTGTTCTTCCTATTACTGTTGCTGGTACTACCTCTTCTAGTCACTCTCTGTAGCTCTCGCTATCACAGCCTTTTCTTGTTCCTTCACGATGTCAATTCATTTAGGTTCTCAACAAAAAGATATAACATTAATTCAAAGAAAAACATCTGTGTGTATCCAAATGGCCACATATACGTCTGAAATGTCACATATGATACTTTCACACTACTTAAAATAGTTTGAGGAAATTTATAATTGCACGTAGTCAATTATATACAACTTTAGTATACAGCACATTTAATAAAAATTATTCGAACTATGTGCACATCTAAGAGTACACATAAATAATGTATACACAACACAGATACATGTACACACCCCTAACATGTAGAACATTCTTAAACAGTGACATTCTTATCAACTCCTCGTAAATGCTGGCCATTATCCATGAATTCAATACATCCTGTAACAGGTGTGGAAATGTGATATTGGTATTATTAGTTATTATTGTTTTTAATAGTAGTAGTAGCAGTAGCAATTATTATTGTCTAAGGAAGAACATATGGCTAAATATGTAAAACATTACATAAGCATTTATGAAAAACTAAATAATAAAGTATTTAAAAATTAACGTATTATTATCAGCAGCAGCAGTGTTATATAAGTATCATCATCACCAACAGCCACATAGGTACAGTAAACAACTGGTCCATGGTACAAGCGTAACCACAGCACATAGTGAACATGAAACAGAACGTAAGATAAGTACTGAATTGTTCCATCTACGATATTACTCCTCTTACCATCTCTCGTTTTTTTCCAAACGAGTTTGCTTGTACCATCATCAATCAGCATTGTATAAAAAAGTAATAGCAACATCATTATAAGAGCATCATCTCCATTATTATTTTACCATAGCGCTTCTTATCATTTAGTGAAATGCGAAGCCACATAACCGAAACTGAATGTACGTAATTATGTAACAGGATTCTTGTGCTAAATATGAAGCAGCACTATTATAATAAGCTAATATTAACACTAATAATAGTATGAATAATATAAATTACATTATATATATATATATATATATATATATATATATATATATATATATATATATATATATATATATATATATATATATACATATATATATATAATATAGTCGGACTTGAGTCCTGGAAATGGGAAGTACAATACCTGCACTTTAAAGGAGGGGTTTGGGATATTGGCAGTTTGGAGGGATATGTTGTGTATCTTTATACGTATATGCTTCTAAGCTGTTGTATTCTGAGCACCTCTGCAAAAGCAGTGATAATGTGTGAGTGTGGTGAAAGTGTTGAATGATGATGAAAGTATTTTCTTTTTGGGGATTTTCTTTCTTTTTTGGGTCACCCTGCCTCGGTGGGAGACGGCCGACTTGTTGAAAAAAAAAAAAATTATATATATATATATATATATATATATATATATATATATATATGCAAAAAGATCAGTAAACAGGTGATTCAAATATCAAAAACCACTCTGAAAGTAATAAGAATTCAGTTCGTGATACTCACATTATCAAGGAACTATATAATGTGAGTAGTCACGAAAGCGCTTGAATTTCTCTATTCTTTCAGTGGTTTTTGATATATATATATATATATATATATTATATATATATATATATAAATGGTTCAATTGACCATTTTAAGGTGATCGAATGAGATATCCCAGTTCACCTGACCCTGAATATCTCATCTCCTCCACCAAATATATGTAACGTTAACCAGAATTGTGTACAATACAAAATGTATGTTGTATCTCTACATTAAATAATAACAACTCCTTAAAGTGAAACAATGCCACTCAAAAGTTTTGCATTTAAAAAAGCCAGACGCAATTCCCCAAAACTAATATACAAAGGGTTTGGAATTCAAAGAGTCCTCAAACCTACGTAGACGTGCATATACTAAAAAGAAAAATTCTTGTCTGAGGACATTGTGTCTTCATTTTATGCTGTAAATAATGAATACAAAATGAAATGAGTGTTGTGGTAAGAAAAGTATGTAAGATTTTAAGACGATTTGGTTATATAGAAAATATGAATCACTACAGTGAATGTCCAGGAAATGGCTGGAAAAGTTTTGCCAGGTAGAGGTGGGAGCACCCAGCAGGCATGTGTTAGCGTGTTATATTACTGTAAGTGGAGACAAGTGCTTTTGAAGAACTGACGAGCTGTTCGAGTGTGACCAAGATGATATCAGTGAAGGGATTCGGGGAAATCGGTATGCTGGACTTAAATTCTGGACGTAAGTACTGTGCAGGCACTTAATAATAATAATAATAATAATAATAATAATAATAATAATAATAATAATTTTATTTACTATAAATACATGTACAAGGTATACAGGCCTAGATGACATCAATGATGTACTACTACATAGAAAGCCCCTTGTTATGCAGAGCATTTCGGGCAAATTAGGTCAGTTATGTCCCAGGATGCGACCCACACCAATCAACTAACACCCAGGTACCCATTTTGCTAATGGATGAACACAGACAATCGGTGTAAGGAAACACGTCCGATGTTTCCATCCCTTCGCCGGGAATCGAACCTGGACCCTCACCGTGTGAAGCAAGAGGTTTTGCCACCAGGCCACTGGGCGCCCTACTAAAGTTGGGTGGGGAGATTGCGGTTGGGTGAGTCATTGAATCATGTTTTTGAACTTTGGAAAAAACTGCTAAGATGCAAGTTATGGTTAAAGTATGTTCTAGAAAATAAAAATAAAATAACAATAATAATAATTTACTACCTCCCACGCATCCCTGTCTCCCTGCCATGCAGACAGCACCAATGACGTAATTTCCCAAACATCTCAGCTTTACCATTTATACGCCCTCTTATTTATATATATACAGGCTCGTGTATATCTACATACTAGAATATCATACACATTTTTCTTCTAAAATTTTTAATGTTGTACTGAAGTAGGCTATACCATATCAGTCTTCGTCTGCCTAGTTAATAAATTCCGTAACCTTATTTTACGAACGAAATATGTACCCATACTGAAAAGGATGCGATATTCCTTAATCAGTAGCATAAGCAATAATAATTTATATATAAAAAATATATCACTATCTATACACTACCATTACTCCAATGTTCATTTTGTGCAATAGGAATAACCAGAGACGTAATAAATGGTCATCCTCTGATTTTATTTTGGGGAGTGGTAGGTTTCAGAATTTCGACGCTGAAGCGTTTTATGTGAGGATTATCTTCACTTGGTATGGATTTTGGTTGTCATCATTTAAATTACCTTAAAAACCTAGCATGCCAAGTGTCAAGTATCTAAGGATAATGAATTAGCGTAGTAAGTCTAGCATTTCAATTCATTACTCTTCATGATATGATATACGCACTACGCACCACGCAATGTTTAACATGCAATACTTGGAAAATATATATTGTAAATCTGCAGCTAATATAAATATCAGCCACGTTAAAGCACCGTTGGTGTGGCTAGTAACTGAAGGAGTAACTTTCTGGACACTTCCTTAATTATGGGAACCTCGATAACTCCAACACCAGCATGGGTATTCCATATAATAATACAGTAAGATATTTAGAAACGTAGCCAGTGAAAGGTTATAGGTATATGCACATGTTTCCTTTCATCAATGAGCTTACAGTCACAGATTAAGAAATGAATGTGAAAAAGATAACTCGCAGCATTTCTAGCAAAATGTTATGCAGATTATATATTTACATACATCTAATGTGCTGATACCAAACACGCGTACATTTAACTAAGAACATAAGAATAAAGGAACACTGCAGTACACTGGACCATACTTGGCAGGTCTTCTCAAACCTAACCCATCTCACTCATTTATTAGTTCAACATATTTTTGGAAACGACCCGAGGAACTAAAACCCATTAATAGCCACAGTAAGAAGTATTCTAGTCTCAATAAAATGTTTATTATTATTATTGTTGTTGTAACAAAAAGCACCGAACCTTGACTAGGTGAGGGCTCTGACCTTCAGAATAACTTTCCCCAGTCTAACTGGTGGAAAAAAGAAACTCAAATGCAATACGAGGCGATCCTT